TCCTTTCCCCAGTGGTTGTTGGTGGAGGATTTGTCAAAGATGAGTTGGCTGAGAAATTGAGATTTTGCTTCCAGAATCTCTATCCTGTTCCACTGGTCTACATGCCTGTTCTTGTACCAATACCAGGCTGTTTTGATTATTGTAGCCTTAAGTAAAGTTTGACGTCTGGAATTGTGATACTTCCTGTTTTACTTCTTTTGCTGAGGATTGTTTTGGTTATTTGCAATCATTTTTGCTATCATATGAATTTCAATATTGTCATTTTTGGGTCAGAGAAAAATGATGTCAGTAATTTAATGAGTATTGCATTGAATCTGTAGATTGCCTTGGGTAGGATGAACATCTTAACAATGTTGATTAATCCAATCCATGAACATGGAACATTTTTCCATTTGTTTGTGTCTCCTTTGATTACTCTGAGCTGTGTCTTGTAGTTCTTGTTGTAAACGTCTTTCATTTCCCTGTTTAGGAAGATGCCAAGGTATTTCATTATTTTGTAGATATTGTGAATTGAATTGTGCTTTTTATTTGGTTCTCATGTAATCAACTTTTAGAGGCAGACAGTACAAGTTAGGTTTATGATAAAACATGAACCCTGACTCTGCTAAACTGAGGAAACAAAGACTAGTAAATGATGAGCAAATATGCACTAATTGCACAGCATTAGAAGGGATGAGATCTGACATTCCAAAAATTAGGGATTTCTTCCAATCTTCTATTATTCCAGAATGTTAGTCCATCCTACAGACTTGAAGTCTTCTAAAACCCAGGTAATATTTAAAAAATTTCAAAGCTGGAGCTATACTGGACTTGTGCAATTTCTCCTGCAGGTTGTATTTTCATTTTCCTCCCAGATTGTTAAGAACAAAGCCTCCCTTTCTGCCTCCTCTTCCATGCCCTTTAAGTTGGCCATCCCTGAATCAGCATTCTTAGTGAAAGCAAGTTGCTGCCCAAATATTGAGATGTGTTTGGAATCACATCCTTCCTCATCAAGTCTCATTATAACTGTTTTGGGAGATAGACACTTGGGCTAAACTTAATTAGTTTAAGTTGACTAAATTGGTTGACTAAATTGGAATTTTTTTGGCCCTGACAAAGGTGATAGCAAGATTTCTGGGACTACCTTCTACCTTCTACCTCTCTGGGACTACCTTCTGGGACTACCTTCTGGGACTACCTTCTGGAACTACCTTCTACCTTCTACCTTTCTGGGACTGCCTTCTACCTTCTTCCCTCCTAATAGAGCTCTTAAAAGGTAGAGCAGCTATTTAGGAAACATGAAGTTACTGCTGAGGCAAGAGATTAATGTTTTAAGGGAAAATATCAATAAGAAAAAATGAGTTATGAACTTTGAAAAGAAACATTAGCAAGAAATGCTATTTGGAAAATGAGTTAGTGTGAGTCTGGCTTCTCTGAGGAGCACATGCTAAAGCAAAGTTAATGTGCAAGGATTTTGTTAGGAAAAGTGCCTGTGTGGAAGGAAATGGGGAGGAACCCAGAGAATGTGGGCAGATTCTTAAGACTGAGATGCAAGCCTGAGAAGAAGTGAAGATGAGAGGAAGTGTCCCAGACTGCTGTGCAGCATAAGGTAGATTTGGCATAGCCTTTGAGATGGCTTGAACCAAAGTGTCTCCCAGGACTGGTGTGTCCCCACAATACTTAGTCATTGGCCCAGAGCATTCTGTGAGAGGCTTGGCATTGACACAGGACCCATGATGGATTTCAATGCTGAGTGTACTGGGGATTGCCAAGCTTGGAAGTGGGAGCCCTTCCTAAATTATGCTCCATGTAGTAGATCTATGAGATACATTCTCATGGCTGCCATGGGTTCTAGCAAGGGAGATTCCAGGCAAATAGACCAAAGTACTTTTCACCTAAAGTTGCAGAGGTGACACTAATGAAGAGTAAGGCAAGGAAATCTTTATTCTAAAGTGCGAGAAAAACCTGAAGAAACTGCTAAATGACTTTTTTTAGATGGATTGAAGAGCCATTGAAAGGAAGAAAGTTCTCTCTCTCGAAGTGAGTTTAAAGTGTGTGAGTTAGGCTCTTTCCTAGTCAGACAGATTTGGATTTCTCGCAGGAGAAACCCTAGGGATGTCTAGGAATCAGACTGGAATGGAGAACATGGGGAAGTCTCCCTGAAAGGAGTCCTGGCGTGGAAGGACACTTATGTAATAAACTTCAGGGTCAGAGGCATAAATATCAAGATGCAAAGCCTTGCATTTTAGAGCAGAGGCCTTTGCTTTCCCCCTCTCTCCCTATAGGGGCACATGGCCTCTCTGTTTGGCTCATATGACTTGTGTTCCTATGCAACACATGAAACAGGGACTGATTGTGTCTCAAATACCTATATGAGGCCACCAAGCATGCGCTTACATCTGTGGGCAGGAGCTTCTGCTTCCTGTATCACAGCTTCCCAGTCAGTGACCAGACTGTTCAAAGCCCCACTCTGTTGCCCTGTCCTCTAACTCCCAAGTTGACCTAGGCCAAGTTTTCCTCCTCTGTCAAGTTTCGGTTATGGTTTTGAACTGTCTTGTACAGTTTGTCCATGACTTTCTGGACACTGAATTGTTCTGGTTTATCTGGCAGTACTATTATGACTTGTAAAAAATGTGTGTGCATGTGTGTGTAGAAACACATATGCATATACGAATATAACCATTCTGCCATTTCCAGTATTCTCTTTATCACCAAAAGTCTCTGCTACCCCTGCCCAAATGTAGACAACACTCAGGAGAGAAACTGCTACATTTGCAAACAAGAACCCATAACTTTGCTGACTGTACAGCTGAAATGACTAAAAGCCTATTATTAATTGGAGTATTTCTGAAAATGACTCCTGAATTTTTTAGTGACATGGAGAAAAAGAGACTTGAAGAACATTAATTTCAGTCAGGAGCAAATGTGTTCCCTTTGCAAGGAATTGAGGAACAGAAAACTGTAGTTGGTTACCTCAAAATGAAGAAGATCAGGGTCATTAATAAGAATAACCTGTTATGATGGTATGGAGAAATAATTGTATTGATTTTTTCATTGCTGTGCAAAAAAGTTATCACAAACCTAGCAGCTTATAAAAACAACCATCAATTATCTCACAGTTCTGTAGGCCTAAAATTCAGAGATTTGACTGGATTCTCTGAGAAGGACTCCACTAGTCAGAAGTCAGGGTGTTGGCCAAGTTGTACTCTTATCCGGAAGCTCTGGGGAGGAGTCACTTACACACTAGTTCAGGCTTTGGCATCAGTTGCTTGGGGTTGTAATATTGCAGTCCCCATTTTCTAGGCAGCTGTGGCTTGGGAGTTGTTCTCATTCCCTAGAGGCCTTTCTGCGGTCCTTATGTGTGCCTCTCCCCACCTCCAAAACCTGCAATGGTGTCCAGAGTTCCTCTGAAGCTGAGAATCACTCTGACTTCTGCTCTTTCTGCTCTGCTTTTAAAGGACTCATTTAATTAGATTTGGCCTGCCCGAATAATTCCTCTTTAATTTATCACAGGAGAGGTGCTCTGTCACATTTAACAGGAAAGGCCATTGGAAACCATTCTTGGAATTCTGCCTACTACAATCACTGAGTTCAACTCTTTCAATATTCTGATACTGCTTTAAAATTAATCTATTGGAAGCAGGAAACATCGTGACTATGGCTAATTATTTCACATTTCGATGTGGTTTCGCTTTCATTTTTTTTTTTTTTTTGGGTCAATTTTCTATGTCTGCATAGGAAGTCCACTCCCTAAGTACACAGAAAGCAATATCTACTTCCCCATCATCTACTGCAGAGTATCTGACATAGTATAACAAGGTTTGGTTTAGAGAGTTTGTTTTTAAGACTGTTGACCACCTAACTTGAGTGTGGCTGAAGAACTGACTTAAAGGGCAACAGAGAGCAACCTGGTGAGGGTCTAACACACAGTCAGACCAAGGCTTGAGTTAGCTTCGCCATAGCATCACCTGGAAACTGAGTTAGTTATATGCCCACTACCATAAGAGACACCCAGCCTTTGCACTCCTTAGCTCATATAATTCTCACCTAAGTTTCAACACTGCTTCATTACATTCCCAGTCCTTAACATACCTCAATATACTTTCTGAGTAAAGAGATTTCTTTGTACAACAGAGCAAGTTTTCACTACTCTGACTGGCTAAGGGAAATGGTGCATAAGAAAAAGTGAAAAGACAAAGATCCTGGATTTACAATGAGCTTAAAAGAAGGCTCAACAATGGTCATCTTAGGCTTAATGGGTAGATAAGGAAAAAAATAGTTGAAGGTGGGACAGTGTTTCAGGTTATTGAACTGTTGGTTGTGAGTGCCATTTCTGGGAATGTGTGTAGGATAGTTAGAAAGACAAGGGAGATACACCTCATAGATCCAGAAAACCCCTTGCTGAAGAACACGTGCTGAGATTTGTAAAACCACATTTTTCATTTCAATTAGAGAAAAGTAATTTTGCATTTGTCTCACTGCATGTCGTGAAAGGATTTCAACAGGCAGCAGAGTATTTTTCTGGACAGTACCTAAAGCCAAAGATTATGAGGGTGAAAAATCAAATGAATATGAAAGCTCCCGGGTCTAAATTCTTGGAACTCAGTAAAATGCTGCCCTATGACATTATATAAATGCTTGTAGAAGGAATAGATATTATTGCCTAGGAATTGCAATTAGAGTTATATTTGAGAATGAGTAAGAAAAAGTCAGCCAGGGGTTAATCTTATTCACTATAAGACACTTTTCACGTGAGCTGGCATGGCATGCCAAATACAGAATATCAGTTACTGTACCCAAAATGCTTATGATGTACCATGCATTATTCTAAGCTCTCGAGATGTACTATCTCATATAATCCTCGGAAGAAGCCCAGGAGGTGGGTCTCGTTATATTCCCCAGTTGACGCACAGAAGGTGGAGGGACAGAAAGCTTAAGATGAATAATCACGGGTTCTCTTCTCTTTCTTCCCCGATCACCCTCTGTTGCAGTCTGGCTGCTGACCACACACACTCCTCGCTACCTGCTAGGTATCTGAGAGCCTCCGGCTTCACCTCCCTGTCTAGACCCACGGGCTGGGCGGAGCTTCCGGCTCAGACTAGACCTCCATGGATCCGCTCCAGAAATGGAATCTGGCATTGACAGCTGAATCTTCCCAGATGGTGGCTGAAGACACTTCCCAGGAAGGCCTAGAAGCCTCTCAGCCTTCCTCCTCAGACCAGCTGATGATGGGCCTCGGTAACCTGAGCCCCAGTCCGGGAACCAACCACCCTGCGCCTCCCCCAGAAGGGCTGCTCCAGCAGTGGTACAGGGAGGAGAAGACGCTGCAAGAGAGGCGGTGGGAAAGGCTGGCGATCCCTCAGAGGAAGAAAGCATTCCTGGGGCACATGAGACGGAGACACCGTGACCACATGGCGCCCTATCCGGTCGAGAGGGGACCCAGAATCTCTCCCTCGAGTGATAGAGATCAGAATCGATTCCGATGTGAATGTCGATACTGCCAGAGCCACAGGCCGACTATTTCTGGGATCCCTGGGGAGAGGGCCCCACACCCTTCCTCCTGGGAGACGCTGGTGCAGGGCCTCAGTGGCTTGACCCTCAGCCTGGGCACCAACCAGCCCGGCCTTCTGCCGGAAGGGGCACTCCAACAGCAGGAGAGAGAGGAGAAGTGCCAACTAGAGAGGCAGCAGGAAAGCAAACGAATGTTTCAGAGGCTGCTAAAGCAGTGGTTAGAAGAAAACTGAGACGCGCATCCCTGTGCCGCGGAGACCTGAAGGGAGTCAGATGTGGATGTGGGTGCCGTGTTGCCAGCTCCTGGCTGTGGGCTCCTTTTGGGGACCAAGCAGTAAGCTGTAGTGGGGGGGTCCCAGGACCTGTGTGTAATGACTGGAAGGCCTCCCAGCATAATATTGGAGCTAGTGCCAGAAAGGTTTTAATCTTTCCTGCTTATAATTTTAGCATCCCTTTGGGATATAGTGGGGGCATTAGTCTATCGAAATTATGACTGGATTTAGGATTCCTAAACTCCTATGGTGTAGTTCACACAATTCAAGTTGTCACCTTCCTTCCTAACGTGGTTTCCCAGTCATCTTATTGTCAAAACAAAACAAAAATCTGTGTAGTCTGAGTGCCTTTCTGATGTTCATGTGCTTTTGTGCATATTAATGACTGCCTCCAAGAAGAAGCACTTGATGTGATGAAATGTGTGTGTGTTGTACAATTGGATTATTGAGAGGAAGTCAATGACACGAGATCCAATTTCCAGAACTTGAGGCAAGAGAATGCATACGAAAGGCATCTACACATTGTACTGTTTGAGTAATGCATTCAGTTAAGGTAATTTCATGTGTCAATAAGTTTCACTCTTTAACAAAGAGTATTATACTCCCTTGAAGAAATTTCTGATGTGTTGTCTCAATCGTGAATACCGAAAGGATGTGTGTTTCAGAAGAATGCAACGTTAACATGCAGGTTCATTTACTGGTATTGGTTTTTGTCCTGCCACATCTGAGTTGATTGAATTTAAATCCTGGGGCAGTTCATCACAATATCTCAAGGGACATTCCAAAGATGTAGACTCTGAATAATAGAGGAGGGAGGAAACCTGGGAGCATGTTCAGGTCACTGTTGGGGTGCCATAATACAACAACAGTTGAAGCAGCCTGGCAGGATAAACTGTTTCCTTTACTGGTTAGTGGTGGAAAGCAGTCTCTTACCCACAAAAGACCTGTGGCTCTTTTGTGTGCTGATGCTCGTGTTACTGACTGTGGTGTTTTGTCATCATTCCTTGGTCTTGGGGAAAACATCTCTGTGTGATTGGAGAAATTAATCAGAGTTTCGATGTACATTTTCATTTTCTAATTAACTAATTTAATCTCTTCAAGTTTTCTCTCTAAAGTCCTCTGATTTTACCACACCACATAAAATAACCTCCTCCAAATGTGAAAGTAGGTTCTTTTCTGAGACTACCTGTTTTCTGGTATAGTTAATGTGAACTGGAATTTCATGTTGTGATCTCATCAGAGAGATAAAGTAACCCTGCAACAATTCCCTGTCCTCATGCTTGAGGGCAACCTGTTTGTTCAACGTGTGAGGCTGCAATACATTTATGTAAGCCATGATGAAATAAACTATGAAAAGAAATATATTTGCTATTAATATTAAGTGCAGCATATTTTTTATAAAATAATTCTATCTCTGTAAGTGACTGGAGTGTTTCTTTTTCTTCATTGTGTTTTAGAATCATCCCTCATTTTTATAGGAGCTATGTATTCCTTCTATAATTGGAAAAACAAACTTTCTTCCACTACCTTCCACTTCTTTTCATTTTTTCACCTGGGTGGTAGTTTCCCTGATCTTTTTCTCCATCTACCTCATTACTTGGGATAACACTTTGGAATGCACAGTGAGAAGTTCTTAAAGATGGGAAAAAAAGAATAACAAAAGGAGGTGCGTGGAACTATGTAGCACTAGTCCTATTTTTGGATAATCAGATAAGTCACATCAATCAACAACATGAATCCTTTTCATGTCTATTCTGCTAGTGGCTAAAGGACCCCTAAATGGCTAAATGACACAGACTCATCTTCCAGTTCTGTGGACTCATTGCCATCAAGTCATCTGGTGGAAACTTTCATCTCTTAGGTGATAAAATTAACAGAACTTACTGTCATCGGATTGGAATGAAATGTTCTGAGTGACTCCACCAACCCCCACCATTACCTCTTGCTACTCTGACCTAGTTTTTCTCTTGAAAGAAGAGGCAGCTCGATGTACCTTTCCCTGCATTAGTTGAGTACTTTTTATACTTTCACCCTGTCACCAATATTGAATAAACTTTTTTTACCTCTTTTAATTTTATTTCTTAGTCATTTCTTTTGAATTTATGATAAATTACTTTAATTTTAAACTCTTCAAATAATATTATCCCTCTTCATGTGTAGTAAAAGAGATTCACTACACTATACTCCTAATTCCTCCCTTCCATTCTTTATTCTGCAGCCTTTTTCTTAGATAAGAGCACTAGAGTCTGTTCTCCAACTAGTGCCAGAGCTGTCTTCACAGAGACATTTCATCCTCTTATGTCTATTGTACTGTTCTAGTTCTCTAGTGTACAACCATATTTTAGTAACTCTTTCTCCACCAAGTTCCCCTATTCTGTGTTAAATGTTTTCATTTAGCTAAAATATTATTTAAGTATCTTAAATGTATATAAGACACGATTTACCTATGGGATTTAATTGTGTAAACCTCCCACATCCCTTTGAAATAGTATATATTTTCCCATTTTATCATAATGATTTTTGCTACAGAGAGGAATATATGACTCCTTAAAATGGTATATCTGAACATGAGGGTATGTGAGGCCTTTCAGCAGGAGCGTGTGTTGGCAGGTTTAGGTTGCTGATATCATTCTGACCCCTCAGAACCCAGATGAGAATTAATGAACTAGAAGAAAAGGAGATTTTCATGACAGAAGGAAATGCAGGCCATCACCAGAAGTTCCTGTAGATATAAGAAGGCCACAAAGAATATTACCACACTGCCGGCCCCAGTCTGGAGAAGATCAAATACAAGCTTGGAGTAGGAGTGCTGTGGGAGGTCCGCTCAATATTACAGAATCCTACTAATGTTAGGAATTGCTCTTAATTCATTTTGATAGAGCAAGGAAACAGAGGGTGAAATTGGGAACACAGATTCTAGCCATTAGCTACAGGGCTTCCAGAGTTAGCGGTCAGAATGTCCAGGAAGGGTGAGCCTCCTCCTCATGGGGGAAGCAATGGGAAGGATCTGGTGCCTCTAACTTAAGTGCACCAAGTTCTGTTCCTCCTTTGCTGGTGCCTCTATTAAGTGCATGGGAAGAGCTTTTTCACACTTGCCATGTGGGAATCAGAGCATCATTGTGTTATTTGAATATTTCTCCTTTAGAAGATACATTGTTTTCCATGTCATGAGGTAAAAATTGTTAAAGTTACTAGCCATGTCCCCTGATGGTTACCCCCAAACATAGTATAGCATTCGTTGGGTAGGAAAATTAGTTCAGTTCTATGGTGGTTCACACACATTGACATTTGCAGAGGTTGTTATAGCAAAAATCAGCAAAGTATCATGAGCCTTAGAAATAATTCAGAACATACAAGGTTAGAAGAATTGAGCTTTGCCATTGTGATCTCATTGGAGAATTTAAGACTTGAAGTGACCTTGCAAGCATTCCCCTTGGCTCTTGCATTCAAAAGTTGTGACTGAAGGACTTCCTTAATAATTCAAAGGCTTAGATTTAATTATAAGCACATGTCCATGTCTATATGGGTTTGTGTGCATGGAGTGGATGAGGGTCAGGTGATGACAGTGAGTCCAATCTCTGGGTGTTATAGCTGCACCAAGTCACATTTAATAAGGTCTTTGTTCTGTGGTATTTCACCTGCTTTATCCCTCCAAATCTTCTCCATGTTATCAGGGAAGAATATAACTATCCCTATGTCTCATCATGAAACTTGATTTTCAGAGAGGTTAAAACCTCTCAGAAAGTTATATAGTATGGGGAAACTGAGACTCAAACTCATGCTGACTGTTTCCACCATAGCTGAAGGTTCTTTGGATCTTTTTGCGAAGGTAACCCAACCATCCCTCAATCATTCTACCAGTCACAAAATTCTTAATCCCTCCTTTTCACCACCCATTCTGTGTTTTGCTGTCTGTTGTGGTGGGGTGTAAAGAGGAATTTCAGAGGCAGTCATTGACCTTGGGGAATGAACATTTAGTCAAGGCAGAATTCTTCTACCCATCGATCCCGTGTGGCACAGGTTGCCAGGAGCTCAAAATGAGAAGGATCTGGGTTAGGTGAAGTAGACATGAAGAAGTTGCAGAAGAAGGTTGCAGAGTCAACCACAGTCTGCAGGAGGGCACATGGAGAGTAGGTAGGTGCGACATTCATCAGGTATAAATAAGGGGATCACCCTTCCCCAACCCCATGCCGTTTTCTACCTCTTTGTTAACATACTTGTGTGTGCTCCTGAAAGACATTTTCCAGGAGAGGGACAACGCCATTTCCTGGTTGCTTGGTCAGAGCGTGCACTACATTCAACAACACAGAGCCCCAGCCCCAAGTGACCTGAGCCTATAGCTAAACCTACAAGCAGCTGTTTTAACATGCTACAATGCTAATCTCTGTAGATGTAGTGGGCATGGTAATGTGACCATTGATCCCCCTACCTATTTTATTAGGCACAGATCCTCGGTCTTCTAAAGCAACACAAATATTAACACCGGAAATAGCATATGAAATTAACATTACTGAGTACTTACTACATACCAGGCATACTTGAATATATTGATTAATTTAACCTCATAGAAACTGTCTAAGAAAGGTACTAATATAACTCTCATTTTACTGAAGTGATTTTGAAAGCTAGAGGTGGTGAAACCCAGGTGAATCTGACTCCAGAGTCCATAAGCATGACCAGTTAACTGTACTATATACTTACTATGTTATAGATGCCTTTCTAGCATTATCAGCACTGAGAGAAGAAGACCAGGGCCATAAAACCTAGCTGAATCTCTTATTCCTGGAATGATTTTCAACATAAAAAAGCATTAAATGAAAAACCTCAGGCTTCCCTTTATTGTGTAAATTGCACGAAGACATTTGTACCATAAATGTGACCCACACTCACTGCACTATCTTGTCTCAGTCCATCTATCCTTCTGTCTATCTCTCTGTTCATGCATACATGATATTATGACTCCTTCCATCTACCTTTCCAAGAAATGTCCAGAGAGCCATCATAGTTCATGAACTAACCCAAAGCCCATATCTCAATACAAAGCTTCATTATCATCTTATGAGGCAGAGCAAGGGATCCCCTGAAGGGAAT